AGAATTACATAATTCTATGCGATATATTACTACTTCTTTATTAGCAAAATCAGATCGATTATTACAACAAGAAGAAAAAAAATTAGAACGATTATGTTTATCAATTGATAAAAAACAGTAAGTATAATTTATTTAGATTTTTATTTATATTTTTTTTTAAAAAATTAATGTAATTAACTTTTATTAAGGTTTTTAGAAGATATGATAAAACTTTTATTACCATTTGAAAGAGTAACACGTCAAATTTGTGAAGCTAAATATATTACTTTAAGTCTTATTCATCCTTATATAGAATTATTAAAAAAAGCATTTGCATCTAAACTTGGAGAAAATTATAATACATATCTCAACCTTATTTATGGATCAATTAATAATAATGAAGATGAATCTGATAGTTTAATAGAAAGTGGTGATGATGAAATTCCTTCTAGTGGTTCACGACAGCATTAGCAATATGCACATCATCAATTTTGAAAAAATATGCAAAGAGCTAAAGAAAAAGAATATGAATTTAGTCATAATAATTGAAGAACTCAAAAAAATCCTAAAACTAACTCTCAGTCAGCTAATAATGTAGATATTGATAATATTAATCATGTAGAATATTTACCAGCTGTTAATATTAATGATCTTCTTTAGAAAGTTTGACCAGCTATTTTTTTATCATTAGATGAATTGTAGTCTATTCCAACAGAATTAGTTTTAATTGCAACGATACTTGATCCTCAGTTTAAAAATTTTCATTAGGATGCTAGTGGTGAAGAAAAAAATAAGTCACACAAATTATTGCAACAATTATATGATTCGAAAAAGGTTCTTAAATCTCAACAATCTGCTAATACTCAATGGGCAACGAGTAGTAAAAATAATGATGATGATGACGATTTTTTTAAAGTTTTAGAAAATAATGAAAATTTATTTAATAATGAGGAGGAGGATGAAGTTTTACGTTATATAAAACTTTAGCAAATTGATATTATAGAGGATCTTTTAAAATAGTGAGATATAAATAAAAGCAGCTTTAAAATTTTGTCTCAACTTTCGAAAAAATATCTATCAATTCTTTCGACCTCTGTGTCTAGTGAAAGATTATTTTCTGATGCAGGTAATTATATTTTGGTAAAACGTACTCAATTATCTTTAGAATTGATTAATCAAGTCTTATTTTTAAAGAGAAATTGTGATCATTTTAATATTTTTCTATTCCAAAATATCTAATTTTTTTTATCAATCATTTCAAACATATAATTAGTTTTAATAAAATTAAATAAAGATTAATTAAAAAAATTTTTTTTATTTGTTTATATTATATATGAAACTAATCGCAATTCAGTTTTTCAGTTTTATTACAACTGAATATCCAGTTGAATCAGTTTTATTTAAAATTGGTTTAAATTTAGTTCTTAAATTTAAAAAATGATTAAAACTGGTTATGAAAATTAAATCAGTTTCAACCTCTAAACTGGTTAGTTAAATAATATGAATAAGAATATATCTATTTAGATTGATCTATTAAATATTTTTCTCTATTTAAGCAGTTTTTAGAAGCTAATAATCTTTACTTAATTTTAAAATCTTTTTACTAAAAAGATGATTCTCGTCTATTATATAAAAGATTATAATATTCTAATTACTAAATAATCACTTTATTGGTAATTATAAAATAGAGTAATTAAGTCTTAAACAAGTAAACTTATATAAATAATCTTACTTTATTATTTTCTAATGTGATTTAATAAACATAATTATTTTATTAATAATATGTTTAAAGATAAAATTGAGACTAACTATATCAATTTTTCTATAAATAAGTTTATACTATTTGTAAATTATTTTGGTAATAAAATTAAAATATTTTCTTTAAACAATAAATCTAAATTTCCTATGGATTTATTATAAAATTCTTATTAATTATTGGAATTAGCATATGATTATGAAAAAATTACTTCATTTTTTGAATTATTGTGTCTCTTTATGCCTTTATACAAAAATTAATACATAAGTTTTAGATATTATTTATTTTATTTGAGAATTATTATTTGTAATATTAGTTATATATAATATTAATAATTATTAATATGGATTAATAATAAAGCATTAATTGTATATTTTTGAGTATTATATCATGTTTATATAATTTTTTTTCTTGAAGATAAATGTTATTTAATAACCTTCTTTATATATCTTAAATATAATTAAATATATACATTTGGTTAAACTGATAATTCTATATTGATTTGAGTCATATCTTTATTAGTAATAAATATTTTTATATTATTAATGTTATGCTATTTAAATATCATATACTATCTTATCTAAATTTTTCTTATTAATCGATTTTTTCAGCTAAAACTAAAAAATATGATAAAGAAAATGATATTTTGTCAATTATATTCATAATTCTATAAAGTTTATATTTTATACTACTTATTATATATTACATTTATAATAACAGTTTCTAGAACATAATATAAAAGTTAAAAAAAAAATGGCATAAAAGCAAATAATTTTACAGATTCATTTATTTGAAAAGTTATAGAATAATTTTTCTCTTAAAGAAGTAATTTAGTGAAAATTATTTTATTATTATCTTTCTTATATTCTAATATAGTTTCATAAATCTATCAGTAGTATACTTATATTTTAATAAGCATTTTATATCTAATAACTACTATTCTTTGATTTTATAAAATATTTCTGATACACTTATTTTTATATTAGCATGAGAATATTTTTTACAATATCTGTAACTTTAATGTAATCTGAATGAGCATATAAAATATGATTTAATTTAAAAAATATGAGATTATTTTAATAATTAATTTTATCAATATATAATTATCACATAAGTATTGCTAAATTCTTGAATTTATATCATATTATTTAGCTATTTCTTGATATTTAGTTGAATATTTATTTAATTTTATATGTATATTATACTAATAATAAAATAAAATAATTTTAATTAAATTTATTTAGAATAATATATATATATTAATATCCATTTTCTTTTAAAGCTAAAAAAATGATTTATTTTTAGCAATCTTTTTATCTATTTCTTTTAGTTAGTATAATTGATAACTTTTTAATCAAAGATTTCAGATTTTAAAATTTCTTTAATAATAAATTGAGCATCTTTATTTATTAAAAATTCACTTATTTCACTTATTTTATTTATTTTTAATAAATATTTATAAATAATATTAGAAAGTTTGCTAGGTAAGTTAATAAGAGTTTTTTGATGATTTTTTTTTACATTTTTTTTATTTTTTTTGTATTTGAGTTTTTACTTTTACATCTACTATAAGTAGCTTTTATAATGTTTTTACTATTCAAAAATTCATTTATATTTTTTTTAATAATATTCTAAATAAATCTTTAAGTTAGATATATTATTTAATAAAACTTAAGAAAAATTTACTAATTTTAATATGTTTATTTTACAGAAAATGTTAATTTAAAACATAATTGATACAAAAAAAGAAATATAAAAAATGATCATATGCTAGTAATATATTTACTAGGTAATGCTAGACTTGTGAATAATATAGTTTAGAAATTTACTAGATTTGAATGATATAAATCATTCCTTTTATAGTATAAAAATACTGATCATATTATTTTCAAATATTTTAGTATTTTATATTTTGTATTTTAAGTAATAATATATAATATAATTTATATATATGCTATACATATTATTTTATTTTTTTATTTTTAAAATATATATAATGGGTTAGAAAGTTAATAAATATTTAATTATCAGAATTAAATTATCTATAATACAAGCTAGCTCATTGATCAAATATTATATGAATCAAATTTATAGGTAGGATTAATTATACAAATATATAATCCTTATTTTTGCTGATTTATTTCTATTTTTTCTTGATTATAAAATTTATTATTCAAATTAAATAGATATATCTTTTGTAATATATTTAGCAGCTTATTTTTTTTTTGATTTTAATCTAGTATATTTTTTTGCATTTTTGCTAAGTTGTTCAAAAAAAATTTTCTATTTTTGACAATATTTCAGCTTTAATTATATTTTCATTAATATTTTTCATAAAATTACTATATTAATTATATATTATTGAATGTTTAACAGTTACAAATGTATTAGATTTATCATCTTTATTAGTATTTTAGCACATATAATAATATTATAATCATCAATTGTCTATGACTTATAATCTTAAGTAAGAATAATAAGAACATGAACATGTAAAAATTCACGTTTCAAAATTTTATGGTGTAAAGAAAGTCACATTTTTCTAAAAATTCTTTCTTTTAGAATATCTTTAAGTATTGATTTTAATTTCATATTGAAAAACAATGCAGTTAAAATAGGTTGATCTTATACTAATTGACCTGAAAGAAATGCATAAGTTATCTCAAGCCAGTTTGAGTTACATGTTAATATTATAAATAGAATAGGTTTACTAAATATTTGTACACTAGCCATTCTATTCTGATAAAATTTTATCATTTAGCAAAGTCCAGCTGTAAAGCTTTATAGCAAAATTATGTTCTAAATTTGATGTATTAGCCATACTATCTTATGCTAACATTATATCTACAAGCTCACTGTATAAATTTGTGTGTATCTTTTTTTGATTAAACTTTAGGTATTTGAGACACATTTGTTTTACAATTGCATACATATCAACAATTTATTACTGAAAAAGGTGATTTAAATTGATGCAAAATTACTTGTTCTCTAGGATTGCAGATTTGAAGCTGATATGCAAAATAATTCATTACAGTAACATACTTTAATTCATTTGTTTTATCTTCATCATTAAATATTTTATAAATATCCTGATGTGAATTATTATGTAATGGGATATAAGGATGCCTTTCATCTTTACTCAGGGAAATATGAGTACATAATGTAATGATGCATAAGTACAATGTATTTATGATACTCAATTCAGCCCTCCTTTACGCAGATATAACACAATATCACATTCTGTTTGTTCAATTTTCTATCCTTCTCAAACCATAATAACTGCAAATTCTACTGCTCTTAGAGTATTGTAATATCGGGGATCTATTATTCTGCAATCTGTAATTACTATTTTCATATTTAATAATTGATTCGATCTTAACATATTACTTGCTTGGTGAAATGTTTTAACATATGGATTAACATTATTCAATATTTTCTGAAGTTCGATAAGAAAATTAAAATCAAGATTGGGTAATTATATTCATTCTGATTTGCAGCTCATTATCAATATCATATATGTATCTTTAGACAAATTGTGGAGGTGTTCATTTTTATACTATGATAAATTTCTCCATGAATGCAAAAATTATAGACATCTCTAGTTCCTGTTATAGTTTCATCAATGTTTGCGCCTAATGAAGTAAATGATAATGCGGAATTATACATTCTAATATTTTGTCAAAATAAACGTGAATGATGATCTATTGCAATAAGAAGTCTATCCAAAGGAGGTAGTAGTTCATGCACAGAGAGAAGAAGAATCTTGCCTTTTGCGCAGCAAGTAGAGAAAACTGGCGATTTTCCAGATACATTTACTCTTTAATCTAACCACATAATAGCCCACAGTTGCAACATTCATATTATTTAGTGTGTGACGTTATAATCCATGAGAAATCCATGGATAGACACGTGCCCTTGGAGTAATTGATGATTCATCAATTTCAGCATTTTCTCTCCTTTTCTTTGGGTTTGGTGGTATATTTTCTTTTCCATTTTGTCTCTCAGTTGACGACAACGTTGCTGACGTTCATTTACTGATGCTCTTTAAGAGAATCACTGTTCATATTTTATATAAGAAGGAGCAAATCTTAAATTTATCTTATGTATAAGGTGAAAAAGATAAGACGCGTAATGCTATTAAATATGCCAAAGATTAAATATGTTAAAGATAAAACGATAATATACTTTATTGATTGAAATGAGGGACTTTATGCGTAATCAAATTCAATTTTTATATATTAAATTTAAACTTTAGACTCCAGCTTTTTATTTATTGCATATTATTAATGTTTAATACAGTAATAGTAATAATGTTATACGATTGAAATTGAAAATTATTTATACAGGGTATTGTAAACGTTACAGTGCAAACATCAACGATTTTAAATATAAGATAATGCACATTTCGTTCTTTTTTTTAGTAATTATAATGTAGTACTAAAAGAAAACCCACATCGTTATAAAGGGGCTAGAATAGGATAAGGTTCTCACAATGAATCAAAAAAAAATGTTTTTGTCAGAAAATCGGAAATCATTTTCACAAAATATTTATAACACATTGTTGCATAAAAACTTACTGTAACATCTTTCGAAATAAAATTTCTTTTTTTTTTTTTAACATAAAAGACACATTATAACCATTTAGCTGGTATTCGTTTATGGCGAAGTTTTAAAGTTAGCTCTCGTGTCAATGTTATTTACTAAATCTGGTAGAATAATTAAAAAAAATATCTCGTTTTAAAGCCACATTTATGTGTAAAATAAAAAAAATGTTACTAGTCTATTAAAAGAATTACATTATAAAAATTCTTATCAAGTATCAAAGAAAAGCTAGACTTCGAGTGAAAGAAATCGGGGCAAAAACTTAATAATGGATAATAATAAAAGGGTAAATAAAAGCTTAAATTTTATAAAAAAAAAAAAAAAAAAAAGTTGATGAAACCACTAACAATATCGCAGAGTATGTTGTAGAAGAACTCAAAGCATTATGTTGTAAAGAAAATTTCGTAAAGAACCGAATTTAATAGGAGCATTTCGTTTTCAATACTAAAAGAGCACAGAACGGTCATCGAAAGTCATCGAGCATCCAAACTAGGAAAGCATATCAAAATTATGCAACAGAAAAGGAACCCTAATCATTTGGTGAATTTGACATCGTTGTTAGTTTGGAATATATGCAAAAAAAAAATTTTAAATTTTAGACAACTAATTACTTTGATAAAGGCATAGATCGATAATGAAAAATATTTGATTCAATCAGATAAAAATTCAGTTATGATATTTTAACAAGATAAATTTATTCCGGACTTGTAAATCGTCCGTAAACCTTAGAATATTGTTTTACAAAAGAATCAATGATTAGTATCAATCTATTCATTCCTATTGATTTATTAATAGCCATGGATTCAAGTGTATGATTATGCTAATGATGATGATTTAAAGGATGATACTTTCCACATTTCATATAAGTCGTACAAAGCACAGTTCAGTCTTTAATCTTTGGGAGGAGTACCATGAGACGGTCAATTAAGATAAAATGATAACTTTATTTTGGTCGCTTTGTTGATATTACGTTGAAACATTGTAAAAAAAAGTGATTGTTGATAAAGAGAGGGGAGAAAATGATGATATTAAACTTCAGCTTGATGTCATTATATTTATTTATATCATTAATAAAATTTGAAAATATCTAGAACCTCATTTGATAATGCTACATGGGATTCAAGAGAATTTTGATAAAATTGAATCCTATATACAGTCAAAGCTCGTTATAGTGAACTCTCCGTTCCAGTCACTTTTGTTCACAATAATGAGATTTGATTTAAAAGTTTCACCATATCTAGCGAAATTTATTATAGAAAAATAAATCGGACAAATAAATTTTATTCATTATAACGGTAAATGTACTTAATATAAAGGCTATTATGACATACAAAATAATTATATGAGATTTTCTCTTTACCGTAATAAAAAAAAGAAATACAGTATAAGAAAAAGAAAATAATAAAATAAAAGGATATTGACAAATAAATAATAATAACTTTCGCGTACAACAAGATATTTTACTATTATAATTGCTATTTAATTTCAACGAAAGTTTTGTTGTTGAAATTGCGTTTGAGGGTTATTTGTGATATTTTTCAAGTAAGTATAAGAGGTATTATTCATGTTTAAATTTTCAAAATCAGGTATGACGAGAATTTTAAAACCAGGAATGTGAGATTTCGATTGAGAATTAGCGTTAAACGAAGAGTTATTATTGGTGTTCAATGGTGGAGTTTGTTCCTCATTAGTAGGACCGAAATGCTGCCTAAACGACGTTGGAACATTAGAGCTGAACATATCATCGTAAGGTACTGAATCATGGGAAAATCAGTACTATAAGTAGCATTAATATTTGATGGAAACTGGATGTTTTGGACGACAGTTGGTGGATAAAATTATTGTTATTTAATGGAATATTTACCACTTGAACGACTTCTGGAGGATTAAAATTGATTTTAAATCCAGCCAAGTTGGATCTTTGGAAATTAAGGTCATTCCGTGAAGGATGATATGAAGGATTATTTTGTTCCATAGTCTTATTTTTAAGGAATACCGAAATGTTATGACGTAAATTAAGATGACCCGATCTGTAAAATTATAAAAAGTTTTCATTTGTTTGTTACATCGATCGAAATATGGGTTGATTGCTAGGAAAATTTCTGAGAATTTTAAGAAGTTTATTGTATTTTAGTTTTTAATAATAATTCTAATCACGGAGGAACAATTGAACTCTCCGAGTGATTAAATTGATAATTTGTTATCCAATGGGTTTCAACGCGGGCGTTCATATACCGGTATGTATTAGACAAGTTTTTTTTTAAAAACAATCCGTCGTTCATTTTAAACTTCTATCAAATTTCATATTATAAATTATATATAATATTTTTTTTTGAATTAATTATTGTTGTTATAATCTGATCCTAGAAAGTATAAAAAATAAAAATAACTTTGCTGATCAGTTAGGGTTTAATCAAATTGATGATATCATAAATTTTTAACGACCAATTAGGTTCGGACGCGATGATGATCAAAAAAAATAAAATGGTTTTTGGCGCGAAAATAAAAAAGTAATACGCAATTTAATATTTTCTGTTTTATATAATATTATTCTTTAAATAAAAATTTTTTTAAAGAAAAAATAAGTAAAGAAAAAATCCATTAACACTTGACTCATTCCAACTCGTGATTTTTTTTGCTAAAATAAGTTTTTAGAGAAGAGACCAAGGTGATAATCCAATACGAGATAAAATATTAAAGACTATCGCGTATGATAGGTAAAAAAAAACCACGAAATTTATTTCGCTTTTAAAATATATATATATATATTCTACAAGAAAGCTTTGAAAAGTTTTTTTGTGCACATAGATATTTTTTTTCTTTATTATAAAATAATTTAATTCCATTTATAATGTGTTTCGGTTAAAACTTTTGCCAAAAAATCAGAACTCACATTCGGCAACTTGCATAATGCAAATCGAACTCAAAGGATAATCTCATCTAAACTGGATGCGACAACAACTTGAATGATCCACACACATAGTAGAATACTCAACTTAAAATCATGTCCGATCAAGTACTAGAACCCGCATACACAAACAAATCGATTATTCTATCATGACGTTACAATAACAATAAAAAATAACATAGTTAAGATCTGGAGGTTGAGAAGGCAATAATTTACGGTTTTTTTTTAATGTCGAATGACGCAGTTAAAAAACCCCAGGTTACGCAAAATGATTGTTTTAATAATACATTTCGTCTTCCATATTTATTGTAATAAAATTTATTTACATGTTACAAGTAGTACTAAGAAGCTTGAATGATACTACTTTCAAAATTAACCATATCATTACTTTGTAATCTTATTTATCTATCTATAAGAACATTAAAAGAAGGTTTTATCATAAAATTTACCACGTAAAAAATATTACATATAATAAAGTAAATTGAAATCAATTAAAGTTCTGTGATTCCTCCACACCTTCCTTTTTACTTTCTAGAATAAAGTTTTGTTAATTTTTATAATTACCCATCTATATTTTCTATAATAAGACAAACTATTTAGAATATATATAATATCGAACTTCATATGTTCATCTTATCAAAATTTTGTATAAGTTGAGATAATTCACCATTTGATGAAGAAATTTTATCAAGTTGTTGTTTCGATAATTGGACATTTAAATTATAATCGCCAGTTTGCTCATTTGCCGCAAGGTTAGTGTTTGTAGTAATAGATTTTAATTTACCAACTGCTTCAACTACTTTACTCATATCTGGACGATTATCTGGTTCTTGATCCCAACACTCTAAAAATATATTAATGGTCAAAAAAATATTTTTCTAATTATAATTGAATTTAATAAATATATTTACCAGTATAAACTTTTACATAATCTTTGGGAGTATCCGGAATAATTTCTTCTCTGAGACCTTTCGATATACTATTAATTAGGTCGAAATCATATTGTTCACCTTCAATATAAAAAGGAGCATGACCACTTGATATCTCCCATAAAAGCATACCAACACTGTAGACATCACTCTTTTCGTTTAGCTTATATTGTAATGAGTTAAACCTTTTTGGGTCAATATAGGGAATTATACCAAAATCATTTGATAATTCAGTTGCTTCTTCAATTCTTTTTGATAACCCAAAATCCGCCAGTTTTATACTATTCCGGTGAACTAATATATTGTTGGAGTGCTATTTATTTATATAATAAAATGTAAATATTTTAGTAAATTTTTTAATAAAAGCACATATAATTATTTACCAAATCACGATGCACAATTCCTTCAATATGTAAACATGATACAGCACTAGCCAATTGAAATGCCAAATCGTATTTATCATTCCAGGTAAGCTCATTAAAGATTTTCTTCAAATGGTTTCGAAGAGTACCTCCATTAGCATATTCCATTACTAACAAATACTTTGGACGATCATTTCGATTTTCTAATTTAAAAATAAAAACTTTTAGTTGCAATATTTTTTACTTTAAATTTTAAAGTTTCAATAGTGATTATTATTATACCTAGATCGGAAGTTATGCCATAAAAGCGAATAATGTTATCATGAAAATCAACTTCTTGGTGAAGTTTAATCTTAAAATGAATCAGATTATAAATATTAAACGAACTTTTACACGTAATTTCACATGTGGTGTAATGTTTTGGTCACCCGGCAGATATATGAAATGGGTTGATCTTGCCTTTTTTGGGGCTGAAAAATAGAAGTCAAAATTTACCGGCCAAAGATCCGGAAAAAAAAATTTTTACCGGATTCTGCCGGAATTTTATCATCTATTTTCAGCCCTGGTGTCAGGTTTATAGCGCGAAAAACTGTCACCAAAATACTTATAAAAATGAAAATGAAAGCACAGTGATCAAACATTCTGTAAAGTATTTACCTCGTGAACGATTTCTTCAACTGTGACAATATTGAAGTTAAAAGATTTCAATGCAAAATCTTTATGTAAACTTTTCCAATTTGCACGATAGACTTCTCTAAAACCTCCGCTTCCAACCTTTTGAAAATTACAAAAAGAGTTATAGTCGTAATGCTTAATATGACTTTTAAAAATAGCCTCTTCAATCTAGCCATCTAAAGGATCAGGTATCTGTAACGGATTATGCGAAGGATTATTATTTTCCATAGCTTTATCTTGAATAAAAATTATAATTTGAAATTAAATTTTTAGAAAATTATTTTGATGGGTTATATATATCTATGAGGTGACGCAATAATAGCATAGCTATCACACCTAACAGCTCAATGTTTTTACTTTTAACCTCTTAAAAAAAAAAATTTCTAGAAAAAAGGAATTACACAAATATATTTTGTAGGTGCATTTGATGCACCGCTGCATAAAATGTTACTGCCAAAATAATTAATAAAAGTCACATGTTGTTTGCAATCTTTGTGAATCTTTGTAGGTGCATTTGATCTGCATAAAATGTCACTGCCAAAATAATTAATAAAAGTCACGTGTTGTTTGCAATGTTTGTGAATCTTTGTAGGTGCATTTGATGCACCGGTCCTGATGTAACATTTATTTTATTATAACACAAAAAAAAAAAAATTCTTTTTGGTACATGAAAATTTTTCAAATACTTCGATACTTCGGCTGATCATTTTTATTTTAAATTTCAATATTCTTAAATAATTATCATTAGATCGGAAGTTATGCATAAAAGCGAATAATATTATCATAAAAATCAACTTCTCGTAGAATTTTGATCTAAAACATAAGTTAGATTATAATAAATTGCGAAGGTATAAGGGCCTCTTTTAATTTTTTAGTTCTGTGATCACTTGATACGAGTTCATCTATCCATAATGTGATTTTTGTTACATATTATACATATTAGAACAAATAATATGATCTTCTTCATATATACTTATAATTACAGTGGTGATCAAAAATAACGCATCACTGGAATAAAAATCGAAAACTATTAATATCACGTGATCTATCGATGATTGACTTCCGAAACAAAGAAATTTAAAAATAGAAAACTAGAGTTACCTAATAAAGTTATTTAAGTTATAAATTGTTACACAAAATCAATTATTTGCTCATATATTTCCAAAAATGGTGATGCGTTATTTTTGATCGTTTTGTTTACCTAAAGTTACTATATATGGAAATTCACATGTGACAATTTATATATTATTTTTTTTTTAACTATTTTTATAGTTTTTCAGCCCACTTTTTCTTCTAACTTATTTAAACTTTCATTAATATTAAAAATGGGTCGTGTGTCTGCTGGAAAACGAACACGAATTTGTACACTCCTTCAAGAAGGTTACTCCTCCCGTGATGTTGCTTCCCGCGAAAATGTCAGCCAGTCAGCTGTTGTCAGACTAAACGCAAAGGCCAAAGCTACTGGTTCTGTGAAAGATTTACCTGGAAGAGGTCGCAAACGAATATTTACTGGCCGTAATGAACGAAATCTTGTTCGGCTTATTACAACTGGAGAATGTTCTACTGCAGTAGACATACAAAAAACATTAAAAATTAATGATCAAATTGATGTCAGCGCATGCACAGTGAGAAGAACTTTGCATAGGAATGGTTTATCTTCCAGAATAAAGCGTAAAAAACCATATCTAAAGAAAAAACATCGGGCTC